AAATTATTTTTACATTGTATATAGTCACAGATAAAATTAAGAAAAGCGAGTATTTGTAGATTTATTTTCCTCGTTATTATATAAATTAAAATTTAATACATATGGATTATCATCTTATAATATGGATTCTCGGTATTTATTGCACATTTTATTCACCGAGTAGCATGGTGTACTAAATTTGTGAAAAATGAGGTTGCATGAATGAATCATTCTAATACCAAGGTGTTATTTCAAGCCGGAGGCAAACTAGAAAAGAAACTGGATTTTCTGACTTCTAGTTATATGTAGTTCAACCATTTGAAATGATAGTTAGTGACCATTGCTTATAAAACTTCGACAGCCCTGTTTAATTTTGTCTACGGACTGCTTATTGTTATCCCAAAAGTTTTCTTTGCATATAATTTCAAAAGGAAAACAAGTAGAACGTGGTTGCTTTAAATATCATAACACCTTTTGTGAAGTTTGCTTTCTCTAAGTGTGCTTTTAAAATTTGATCTCCATAAATTATTGATAGACTGCAATACAACAGGACATTTTTTGAACTGGAAAGATAGATAATCTAATCTAGTGTCTCATGGTCTTGAATAGCATGTGGACTCGTGCTAATAAAAAATGTTTCTTAAGCTGGGCTTGGTGGCTCAGCCTGTAATCCCGCGCCTTTGGAGGCTGAGGTGAGTGGATTGCCTGAACCCGTGGGTTCGACACGCACCTGGGCAACTTGGCGAGACCTCATCTCTACAATAAATCAAAAAATTAGCCAGGCATGGTAGCATGCGCCTGTAGTTCCAGCTACTTGGAAGGCTGAGGCGCAAGGATCACCGGAGCCCAGCAGGAGCCCAGCAGGTGGAGGCTGCAGTGGCCCGGAGCGGTCACTGCATTCTCCAGTCTGGGTGAAAGGGTGAGACTCCAACTCAAAAAAAGAAAGAAAGAAAGAAAAAAATGTTTCTCAGCCCCTAAGAATACATAGTAAATTCCAATTTTAGAAACATTGTATTAAGAATTAAACATAGTCTCTGTTAACTAGTTAACATCAGAACTCATAAATATATTTTCAAAATCAGATGTGAAACTATGTGATAAGAATCAGTGGAGGCCAGGCTGGGTGGCTCAGCCTGTAATCCCGCGCCTTGGGAGGTGGAGGTGAGTGAATTGTCTGAGCCCGCGGGTTCGTGACCTGTCTGGGCAACTTGGCGAGACCTCATCTCTACAATAAATCAAAAATTAGCCGGGCATGATAGCTTGCACCTCTAGTTCCAGCTATTTGGAAGGCTGAGGTGGAAGGATCACTGGAGACCAGCAGGTCGAGGCTGCAGTGGCACTCCAGTCTGGGTGACAGAGTGAGACTCCAACTCAAAAAAAAAAAAAAAGAATACAGTGTAACAACGACTGCTTTATCTGTGATTATTGAAAGTTTCCTAAGTTACATTATAGAGATTTCTATAGAACCATTTACCTCTAATAGTCAGCTCTCACATTTGACTAAAGGGTCACTTGTCCTTAAAAATTAGCATTCAATTACTAAATATATTTTTGCCCAAGATAAAACTGAGGAAGCGCCAGGCTCAGTGGCTCAGCCTGTAATCCCTCATCTTGGGAGGCTGAGGTGAGTGAATTGCCTGAGCCCACGGGTTCAAGACCCACCTGGGCAACTTTGGCGAGACCTCATCTCTACAATAAATGAAAAAAACTAGCCGGGCGTGGTAGCGCATGCCTGTAGTTCCAGCTACTTGGAAGGCTGAGGCAGAAGGATCGCCAGAGCCCAGCAGGTTGAGGCTGTGGTGGCCGGGATCGGCCACTGCACTCCAGTCTGGGTGACTGAGTGAGACTCCAACTCACAAAAAAAAAGA